GGAGGGGTGGGGGTTGGCGGACGGAGGTTCTTATCATTATGTTGCTTCACATTATGTTTTGTCTTATGTGTTAACGTTCAATGTTCTGGGCTTGTTGTTTGGTTTTTTTTAAATATTATGTTGTTCAATGTTCTGTTTTTTTCTTATCGCTTGTTCTATGCTCTGATTTTTTTTTTCAAAATCAGTTCCATCATGTTCTAAATCATAGTATTATTTATTTGATCCCTGTTCTTATCTTGCATACCTTTTTGTTTTACAATACTCTAAATTTTTGGTATCCATTTGATCCATTAATAATAATAATAATAATAATTGCATTTATATAGTGCATATCCATGCTCAAGATCATGCTCTATGTGCTTTACAACTATCATTACCCCCAGCAGACCCTCTGAGAACACTCAGAAATATACTCGGCTTTCGCAGAAGCATACAGTGCAAGCTGCGGAATTCACGCGCCCAAACACTATCAAACTGACAAGATCGTTCACTGTCTATAGCCGGGTACCCATTTCTACGTGGGTGAAGTGAGGAAAATTTGTGCAAAGTGCCTTTCCCAAGGACACAACATCGGGCCTCTGACGGGATTCGAACCCACGACCTTATGGTTGCGAGTCCGAGAGCCTAACCACTAGGCCACCGACGCCACAAATTTGTTCCATAATGATATTCTTTTTATTTTTGTTATTTGTGCCACACTCTTTTTATTTTAGTAATTTATAGTTTGTTCCATATTCTTCTTATTTTTACTAGGCTATTTATTTGTTTCTTCATTTAAATCTGTTCATCAGTTATTCACAACACTCTTCTTATTCTTTTTATTATCTATTACATCGTACCTCATAGTTTGTCTTTTGTGATGGTTCGGTCCCTCTCGTACATCGAGCTGAACTGCAGAAATTGCCAAAAACACTAATTGTTGGGTCTATAAATATGTAAAAATTTAGTTTTGCTTTATTATACTTTTGAAAGACTTTTCTGTCAGAAAATCAATTTAAGAATCTAAAAAATTTGCTGTTGTGTTTTTAAAACTGTTTTGGAGAATGTCTTTGTTCTGTGATGGAGGTATTTGTCAAATCTTTGATTGCGAATGTTTCAGTATTTTTCCTCGGACAGCAGTGAAGCATTCCAAAATTGAATTGTGCGTCATTTCGTTAAATATTGTCATATTAATTTGATATTGGTGTCATATGAATGGGAATAATGTCCTCTCTGCATCTGTTCTAAAAACTCAAATATGAAATCTGTACCTAGTAGACCAAACCATCCAGACTCGTCACATTTATTTGAAACAGTTTTCCTATTCCTTTTTCAATCCAATGTACAATGTATAAGGTACTGTTCCATAAGGTACTTTAATTCACAAAACCCAACACCCATGGGTGGTTGGCGGGTGCTCTGGTGTGATTTGCTCCTTTTTTCCTATCATACGTCTATCGTCCTAATCTCTCCTCCTTCTATTTTGTGTTTGTTACTCTCTTGTAACACCTCTAATCTTCGGCACTTATATGACCTTATTGTGTTGCGAGCACCATAAAACCTCTACTAAAACTAAAATAAAACCCATACAATTTCACCATTTCATAATTTCTATCTAATGTACGGTACTGTATCTTACACCTAAATTCACTAAACCCAAAAACCTCCCTTCTCCCTACCCCCTCCCCCTCCGTCCTCCTTTTTTTTTTCGTCTGTATATTCCAGAGTGTGGAGGATACATCGACACGGCCCCTGGCAACTTCAGCTCCCCAGGCTTCCCGTCTGCCAATTACACGCACAGTCTCAACTGTGTGTGGCGCATACACAACCCTAACATTCGTAACTCTTCCCTCCTGCTCAGACTAGCCGCGCTCAATTTGGAGTTCCACGCCGCTTGCGCTTACGACTATCTCGAGATCCGGGAAGGTAAGGAGCATTGGGGAAGAGAGAGGATGAGGTGAGGAGAAGGTGAGGGGATAGGGAGAGAGAGAGAAAAGAGAGAGAGAACAAGAGGGGAGAGAGAGAGGAGAGAGAGAGAGAAGAGAGAGAGAGAGATAAGAGAGAGAGCAAGAGGGAGATAGAAAGAACGAGACAGGAAGAGGAACAGAGACAGACAGACAGACAGACAGACAGACAGACAGACAGACAGACAGACAGACAGACAGACAGACAGACAGACAGACAGACAGACAGAGGCAGAGAGGAAGAGAAAGGCCAGATGGGTGTTATACAGTCAAAATTGTCTTATTAGACAGCCACCCATTGTCAGCAAGAAAATAACAAGTGGTTGTCTTACTCAGTTTTACTATAATGTATATAAAAAACACAAGGGAAGGGTTTGGGGGGGGGGAGGAGGAGTGAATGGAAAGCAGGGGATTGTCTTATACAGGAGGCTGTTAGAGCAGGTACTACTGCCAACAACGCCAGAAACAATTATTTTAACGCTGACGACACCGTTTTCCGCCTCCTTCTCTCCCCCCAGGCCCCTTGGTGAACTCCCCCGTCATCAAACGTTTCTGCGGAAATTCCTCGGGTGACGAGTCCATCGTGATCCCTGGCGCTGATGCCTACGTCCTGTTCCGCACGGACGGCTCCATAGCCCTGAGGGGTTTCTGGCTGATGCATCAATTCACTCGTGAGTACTTATTTATTTTCACTCATTTTTCTTTTCGTTTTTTTTTTTTGGGGGGGGGGGGGGTGTTTTGTTTGTTTGGGGTTTTTTTTATAGTTTTATTAAGTGTTTTACGCACTTGCTACACTGTAAAGTTACCTGGCGGTCTGATGCGTCGGATCTGTCAGGGGGCCCCCGTCCAAGATAAGTTTTGTCGCCTCGTCGTGGTCCTGAGTCCGACTGAATATCTCAGTGAGTCTCTCAGACGATGTCTGCCTATTTCGCGCCGGACCCTTGACGTCATCCAAGGGCGTGCCACTCCCCTAATTATCTTGTCCCCACAGTAAAGATAAAAGTCATGTCCCTTGACATCACACTACTCAATAAGGTCATAATTATAAGTGCGTTTTTTTGGTGTGTTTTTTTTTGGGGGGGGGGTTGTTGTTGGGTTTTTTTGTCTATCCTCTTATAGTGTAGCTCGTCCAACACGTAACCATGATAGCTTCTTTTCATTTACTCTTTGTGTTTGTTTTTTTTGGGGGGGTTTGTTTTGGGGTTTTTTGTTGCTGGGTTTTTTTTGTGTGTCTGTCCTCTCATAAAATAGCTCGTCCAACACATAACCATTATCTTTTCTTTTCATTTACTTTTCGTTGTCTTTTTTTTTTTTTTGGGGGGGGGGGGGTTGTTTGGGGTTTTTGTTGCTGTACTTTTTTGGTCTATCCTTTTATAATATAGAGATCGTCCAACACAAAACCATTTCTTTTCATTTACTTTTCAACGTGTTTTTTTTTTTCAATTTGGGGTTTTTGTTGTTTTTTGGGTGGGTCTATCCTCTTATAGTATAGCTTGTCCTACACAAAACCATGATAGTTTCTTTTCATTTACTTAAATCCTTTTTCTTTTCTTTTTTTTTTTTTGTTTGTTTGGGGTTTTTTGCTGTTGTTGTTTTTTGTCTATCCTCTTACAATATAGTTTGTCCAACACGTAACCATGATAGGTGAGGCAGCGTGGTGGAATCAAGCTCGTCAATTTTTGGGCATCCTAAAGCTTGTTCATTTTTCTTTATTTAGATGAAAAAAATATAAATTTATCTTGAATGCTAGTCGAGATATTTGCGAATGATAGAGGTTGGGGTCACCTGTTTTCAGAGGTAAAATTAGTGAGAAAATGGCCGCCAAAGATTAGTTATTTTTTTAGCTTAAGAGTCCGTGGTAACTGAAATTTAACATTTGTTGTGCCTTTGATCAACGTTTTTCAGAAAAATCCACACAGAAATGAGTTCTTAAATGGGTAGGAAAGGTGTTGAGCCAATAAACAAAAACTTGATAAAAATTCACAAGCCTGCAGAAAAATGAAAGTTTCTTCACTTTGATTATTTTGATGAGAGCCTGATTCCACCACAGCTGCCTCACATATTGTTTCTTTTCATTTACTTTTTATCATTTTGTTTTTGGTTTGGGGTTTTTGTTGCTGTTCTTTCTTTGGTCTATCCATGTATAATATAGCTCATCCAAGTGGGTGGTTGGCGGGTGCTCCGGTGTGGTTTGCTTCTTCTTTCCTTTCAAACATCTATCGTCCTTATCTCCCCTTCATCTTTTTTTATGTTTGTTACTCTCTTGTAACAGCTCTAATCTTCTGGCGCTCATATGACCTTATGCAGTTGCGAGCGCCGCAAAACCCCTACTAAACTAAAAAACTATAGCTCATCCAACTCAAAATCATCATATTTTTTTGTGTAGAACTTTTCATTCTATTTGAGATTTTAAATGTATGACAATCCTGATTTCTCTTTACTCGCAATATTTTTTTCAACGTTATGCTGGTGTAAAAGAGCACTTCACCTCAGCACCGAAGGCTTTTTCTGTATGTACGTCCGAGGTGGAAAATGAACATAATATTAAATTACACTACTGTTCTGGTTCAAATTTCATAATAGTTCTAATTTTACTTTTTTTTATGATGATGATGATGATATTTTTTTGGATGTTCCTGATGAAACCCGTGATCTGGCGAAGCGTGGAACTTATATAAAATGTTTTTTGGAAATTCTGCAAGTCTCAACCCTACAATGATGACGATGATGATGATGATGATTATGATGATAATGATGAAACATACAGTGAAAGCTTTGTTGCTATGGCAGTTTTTCCCCTTTAAAACTATTTCCTGATGAAAGCAGTTTAGTTAGTGTTTAACGGCACTTGCAACACAATAAGGTCATATAAATGCCAAAGATTAGAGGTGTTACAAGAGAGTAACAAACACGATAAAGAAGGAGGGAAGATAAAGATGATAGGTGTTTGATAGGAAAGAAGAACAATGATGATGATTGTGATGATAATGACGAGATTGTTGAGAACAATGTGCAGGTTTGTTACTAAACTGGAACAGAAACACACCGGACCATCATCTGTTCTGTGTGGGTGGTTGGCGGGTACTCCGGTGTGGTTTGCTCCTTCTTTCCTATCAAACATCTGTCGTCCCTATCTCCCCCTTCTTCATTTTTGTGTATGTTACAACTTTCTTGTAACACTTAATCTATTCTTCGGCAGTTATATGACCTTATTGTGGTGCAAATGCTGTGAAACTCTTACTAAAACTAAAATCTGTTTTGTATTGTGTGCTCGACAGAGTGCGGAGGAGTGCTCACAAGTCAGACGGGCGTCATCACTAGTCCCAACTACCCCAACAACTACGACCACAACGACGCCTGTTCTTGGTTGATTAGTCTACCGGAGGGCAGTCGTGTGAGGGTGAGTGTGGGGTGAGGGGGGAGAGAGAGGAGAGAGAGAGAGAGAGAGAGAGAGAGAGAGAGAGAGAGAGAGAGAAAGATAAG